CTTTTCGTCATGAAAGCAATCAAAATCATATCTATTTCTGTAATATATCTTTCATTCTATCAGATGAGACCAAAAAAATGTGAATATAACCATAACAATCATACAAAAATATTCCGCTAAGCGGCCGCTAATGGCTGAGAAGTGAACTCCGCTATTTATGGTCTGATTTCTTTCATTTTTGGTGTACGTGAAGAAGTATCTTTCCATCATACATTGCCCAAGTTTGAATAAGATAACCCAACAAACAACTGAGAAAATAGTATAATAATAAATAATAATAATAATAATAATATCTTTATTTACTACACGTACATGTACAAGGTATACAGGCCTAGCTGACAGTGACATACTACTATATTGAAAGCCACTTGTTATGCAGAGTATTTCAAGAAAATTAGGTCAGTGTCCCAGGATAACACCCACACTAGTCGACTAACACCCAGGTACCCATTTGCTGATGGGTAAACATAGACAACAGGTTTAAAGAAACACGCCTAATGTTTCTACCCTGGCTGGGAATCGAATATTTACAAAAATCATATATGGCTAACCCAAGCCAGGTACTAAAAATAAGCCACGTTGACTTTTTTTGGGTTATCCTAGGTTCTCTACACATATGCTGCTATGTGTGATAGTCTATAGAGAGAAAATAACTTTTTTGTTTCATGTTTATGGTGCAGTACGAGTGTATATCACAGCCCTGTGCTACACTCCGTTTTCTCTAATATAAGCCACCAAGACAGGGATAGGAGAATGGTATTTATTTGTTTACCATATCCTCTTCATAACTCTGTCGAACTGCTTGGTGTTATGCCAAATATTATTCCTTCTGGAGTATTTAGCATGTTTTATGTTATTTATGTTGTTTCTTATGTCATATTAGATCAATTGTGATAGGCAAATAAGCTGTAGTGTTGATATTAGCGTAATAATAAAGCATATTCTCCTGCTTCATGAGACTGAGTTCATGACAGCCGACAGTGGCTTCAAGGCTACCTTATCTTTAATGGACAGTGTACTGTGTAGGTGCTTTACATAATGAGAAGCATTTCTTTTATTCATTGGAACCATGGCTAGGGCTAGAAGTAAGCAGGTTATAACAATAAATGGAGAAAAAGAAATTAGAATGACTTATGCAGCAAGTAGCGCCACCAAACAGTACCAGCAGGTTGGTGTGGCGACCCTGGAAATTTGAAATTATGCTAGCCAAAATTAGTGCCGAATAACTGAAGGAACCAAATAACTGATTGCCGGATTTGTGATGGCGGACCTGTACTTGATTTCTCATTGATTTCAGTACATAAATCTTTATTTAATTTGAAAAAAAAAAAATTATTTTAATATTTTTGGGTGTCTGGAACAGATTAATTTTATTTCCATTATTTCTTATGGGGAAAATGGTTTCGAGTTTCGTGAATTTCGACTTTCGGCAGGCTCTCTGGAATGGATTAATCACGAAACTCGGGGGTCCACTGTATTTGTTTTAGTTTTAACCCTTAAATGGTCCTAATGTATATATACGTTTTTTCAACATCTGAAAGTATGTAAAAAAATGTAGATCTTCTTTTTTGTTTTACATTTGAAAACGTGTAAAAAACTTTTATCTACATTTTTTTTTTATATTTGAAAATATGTAAAAAACGTAGATCTAATTTTGCAGTACTACGAATTTGAAAGTCGATCTGTCTGGACCGTTTAAGGGTTAATATGAATGCATTGAGTATATAGTAAGTTTCCAATTCATGTGATGAGCTGTTGCACATGCCTGGCAGTCCCTAGGTCTAGTGATCCATGCCTGGCAGGTCCTAGACCTATGGTTCCATGCCTGGCAGGTCCTAGATCTATGGTTCCATGCCTGGCAGGTCCTAGACCTATGATTCCATGCCTGGCAGGTTTTAGACCTATGGTTCCATGCCTGTCAGGTCCTGGACCTATGGTTTCATGCCTGGCAGGTCCTGGACCTATGGTTCCATACCTGGCAGGTCCTGGACCTATGGTTCTATGCCTGGCAGGTCCTGGACCTGTGGTTACATGCCTGGCAGGTCCTGGACCTATGGTTCCATGCCTGGCAGGTCCTGGACCAATGAGACCATGCCAGGCAGATCTTAGGCCTAACAGACCATGATGAAAATTAAGACACATGTGCAACATCTGGTTATCTTTATTGTAGACCATGCCAGGCTCACATCTCAGAAGCCCCTGATTGAATCCTGAATATAAGGGCAAGGCTCCTAAAACCTGCTGTACATGCTTACCTATCAGTAAGTACATGGGTGTTAGTCTCCTAACACCTGCACATGTTCACCTAGCAATTTATAGATACCTGGTTGTTAGTCAGCTGGGAAAGTGGACTGAAAGGCCCCAGTGGAATTAAGCTACTCTGATTGTCACTTAATTATCTTGGGTTATTAACTCTCTGAGGTTTTTAATCAGGATGGTCTTAGGCAGATTGATCCCTGCCAGGCAGGTCTTAGGTCTGTTGGGGTATGGCAGACAGGTTGGTCCTAGACCGACTGATCCCTAACAAACAGGTCCCAGACCTGTTCCATACCAAGGAGGTCTCTTAGTTTTAATATGGATATTTCATAACTAATGCACAAATTTGCTTTTATCTCAAGTTGAAAATGGAATAAATAAAGGAGACTTAAAATTAAGGAAATATCTGACAAGAATAAAATTCAGTAATGGATTCAAGTTGATTAAATTTGGATTTAGAGAAGATACAGGAAAACACAAAAGTGGCAATAGGCAATATTTTAGTTGTAGATAAATGGAACAAACTGCCAAGTAGCACCATTCATTGACCTTGTACTGCAGTGAGGGTTGAACCCTCACTGCTACTTATCTGTAAATTGATACATGGGAGTTAGTTATGGCTTGCCTCTTGGGATGGGGGGGACTTTAAAAGGACCCTAAAGGAAATAACCACATTGATTGACTGCAGTGAGGTATACTGCATTACTGATTCATTGAGGTTCATAATCTGAATAAAGTCTTCTGCACTGTAATGATTATGTTGGGTGGTTTTAAGGCTAGATTGAAAAACTAAAAATTTTAACAACTCAATTGTAAACAACTTTCAGAATAGATAGGGTTTAAACCCTAGGAGGCCAGTGCACTAATTATTGTACCACACTCACCTAATAAGATCATCCAACTTGGTGTATTTCTATTCACTAGGAAAGTTAGCATGTTGTCACATAGCAGATTGTACAGGTGAATCTCATACCAGTGTGGTTGTGGAATTACAATTTTGCAAGGTTTGAACCCTGCCCATTATGTGAATAAATTGGAAAAGTACATGAACGCTACATGTTGGGTGTGAGTAGGAACTGCCTAGCATGAGTCGGTAGACCTGCTGCGGTGCTTCTCTGTGCTTGTGTTCTTCAGTGCTGTATGACACACAGGTTTAGTGCTTATTTCTGAACATAATAAAGTCTTCATTTTAATAATCTTGAGTGCATTTACGTAGTGATGATAGATTTAACAGAAGATAACCATGGGCATACTGGTCCTAACCAGTATGCCCTATGTCAGGCAGGTCTTATGCCTACTGATCTATGACAGGAAGGTTCTAGGCCTACTGATCTTTGCCAGTCAGGTCCTAAGCCTACTGGTCTATGCCAAGTAGGTCCTAGGTCTATTAGTTATACTAGGCTGGTCCTAGGTCTACTGGCATATGCCAGGCATTGCCCTAGGCCTGCTGGCTTATGCCAGGCATGGCCCTATGCCTGCTGGCCTATGCCAGACAGGTCCTAGGCCTACTGGCTCATGAGGCTTGCAGTCTAAGTGGAAGCACCCTTGACATATTTCTGATGGACTAGGGTTCAATTCCAACATAAGCTGAAATGTTAGCCATGTTTCCTTACACCTGTGGCCCCAGTTCAGTTAGCAGTACATAGGTACTGCTAGATGAACTGGGGTTAAGCCACCTTGTGGGTGGTATCCTTGGGGAGAGGATGAGGGGGCTTCAGTGGAAATGTGCAATAGTGAATTTCTTGGTAGAATTGAAGGTGCTACTTGAACTATGAGTAAGAGAACTTTTCTTCTCATTTAGTTTGCTTTCCAAAGGGTTTCTCACTTTTTCCGTTAAGTGTTTACTTCATGTCATGCTCCTCTAAGTACACGAAGTGCAGATGCATCATGTGACAAGAATAAGGCTTGTCACTCACGTAACTTCCTCAGTAAATAGTACTAAGTGAAATTCAGCAGTGGACATGTAAACCAGAGACCAAACTGGTCTCTGGTTTACATGTCCACTGTGGAAGATTGTTACTACTATCCAGTACCTGCTTTATCTAGCCTTGGTGGACATATCATGTTCTAGCCTATAACAGTCTGTGTTTAATAATATGCAGACATTAGATTGATATGGTTTCTCCTAGTTCAGCAGAACAGCATTCAAATCCTAACCGAAAGTACACTAGTTCAATCTTTACCTGAAGGATGTTTATGGGGATCAGGGCACCCTGCCTGGTCCCAGACCAGGCCTTCTGCTGGATCAAAGCCTTATCAACACTAAGAAATAACTGCATGTTGGTTGCATGCAGTTTATTTCTTAGTGTACTCATAGCACTCGTGCAGTCACTATCACTTAGTAGTAAAATAGATACCCAGAGTTAGTTGACTGTTGTTAGTAGCATCCTAGGTAAGGGCATAAACCACACTCGTTGGCTATCCTGGATTATTATTCCTCGGGGGTTAATAATCTGAATAAATTCTTCATCCTCTCCTACCCTTGTGACCATTTAGACTGGTCAAGTGTGTCAAGGACATGGGACTGGCATAGTCATAAGAGTAAGATCACAGTAACAACATATTATTCTAGTAACTATGAAAATTATATGACAACAAATAACAAATCATTTTAATTTTAGTTGAAAGAATTACTGTGAGAAACTTTTTTTTTTAGTAGACAGTTGTTTGCTGCCCAGGATAACTGAACACCAATAAAAATTCATTCTCTTTTTTTTTTCTTTTGAATCTAACCTAGTATATCATTTACAGGGTGTGAAAATGGGTCGTGGGGACAACCTGACAATACTCTACCCTCCCGGTTGTAGGGAAGTGACGGAAGATGTGGGTCCAGATGAGCTTATCCGGCGGCTTAAGACTCTGGCGCATACATTGCAGTCCATGGGTCAGGATGATGGTGCCTATCAGGTTAGTCAGTTTGCAAACCATTGAATTTTTCGATGCTTAATGAGCTTCTTATATTTTTTATTTTAGTTCATATAATAAATATTTTAGCTTCCTTTAACAGCTTTGTACTTGTTTATACCATATATCAGTTAAAAATAGTTGTTACCAGGTTTAATTGATAATTTTTACTCTGGTGGACTTATTTATTAGTTGGAAGCCAAACTAAAGGAATAAAAGCTTCTACACTGCTTGGAATAATTTATTTACCCAGTGCCATTAGTGCAGCTCTCCATCTATGTATGATAATTGTGCTTATGTGTACCTATACCTAAATTAATTTACTTATCCATGGCATTTCAATATCAGACCAGTATGAGCTTGATGATCTCATGTCATAGGTTAAAGGGAAAGAATCCAAGACACAAAGGGGTCAGTGACATAAAAAGCTCACCCACAGTTTGCTGCCCATCACGGAAAAAAAATATGATTTATGCAAAGTTGAGAGCCAGAAAACATGCAGATGGAATCATCGTACTATTATAGATGGACAGTAAGCAGATAGTATAGGGTTATATATGGGCACTAACACTAGCTAATATTTGTGATGCTATATGTGAAGAAAGTAGCACCCCCAATGTAGGAAAGAACAAGGGCAGTTGATACAGGGCAAGTCACAGTGCTACAGTTTTACCCCACTTGGTTTAGAGATACTTTTGCTCATGGGAAAAATATATGCAGAAGTTTCTAAAACAAATTAAAAAAAAATGAAAATTAATTTTAATTTCTTTTTAAAGTTTCCAAAACAAAGGATTCCAAGAGTCAGTTTGTTGTTTTAGTGAGTGAGTGAGTGAGTGAGTGAGTGAGTGGTGTGTGTGTGTGTGTGTGTGTGTGTGTGTGTGTGAGTGTGAGTGTGAGTGAGTGAATGAGTGTGGTGTGTGTGTGTGTGTGTGTGTGTGTGTGTGTGTGTGTGTGTGTGTGAGTGATGTGTGTGTGTGTGTGTGTGTGAGTGAGTGAATGAGTGTGTGTGTGTGTGTTGTGTGTGTGTGTGTGAGTGAATGATGTGTGTGTGAGTGAATGAGTGTGTGTGTGTGTGTGTATACCTAATGTACTCACCTAATTGTACTCACCTAATTGTGGTTGCAGGGGTCGAGACTCAGCTCCTGGCCCCGCCTCTTCACTGATCGCTACTGGATCTTCCTCTTCTGCTTCCTGAGCTTTGTCATACTCTCTAAACTATGTATGGTTCCTGCCTCCACTACTTCACTTGCTAGGCTATTCCACTTGCTGACAACTCTATGACTGAAGAAATACTTCCTAACGTCCCTGTGACTCGTCTGAGTCTTCAGCTTCCAGTTGTGACCCCTTGTCCCTGTGTCCCCTCTCTGGAACATCCTATCTCTGTCCACCTTGTCTATTCCCCGCAGTATCTTGTATGTCGTTATCATGTCTCCCCTGACCCTTCTGTCCTCCAGTGTCGTCAGTCCGATTTCCCTTAACCTTTCCTCGTACGACATTCTCTTGAGCTCTGGGACTAGCCTTGTTGCAAACCTTTGTACTTTCTCTAACTTCTTGATGTGCTTGACCAGGTGTGGGTTCCAGACTGGTGCTGCATACTCCAGTATGGGCCTAACATACACAGTGTACAGTGTCTTGAACGATTCCTTATTAAGGTATCGGAACGCTATTCTCAGGTTTGCCAGGCGCCCGTATGCTGCAGCGGTTATTTGGTTGATGTGTGCCTCCGGTGATGTGCTCGGTGTTATGGTCACCCCAAGGTCTTTCTCCCTGAGTGAGGTCTGTAGTCTTTGTCCACCTAGCCTATACTCTGTCTGCGGTCTTCTTTGCCCCTCCCCAATCTTCATGACTTGCATTTGGCTGGATTGAATTCGAGAAGCCAGTTACTGGACCACATGTCCAGCCTCTCCAGGTCTCTTTGCAGTCCTGCCTCATCCTCGTCCGATTTAATTCTTCTCATCAACTTCACGTCATCTGCGAACAGGGACACTTCAGAGTCTATTCCTTCCATCATGTCGTTCACATATATCAAAAATAGCACTGGTCCTAGAACTGACCCCTGTGGGACCCCGCTCGTAACAGGCGCCCACTGTGATACCTCTTCACGTACCATGACTCGTTGCTGCCTCCCTGTCAGGTATTCCCTTATCCATTGCAGTGCCCTTCCTTTTACGTGTGCCTGATCCTCCAGCTTCTGCACTAATCTCTTGTGGGGAACTGTGTCAAAGGCCTTCCTGCAGTCTAGGAAAATGCAATCTACCCAACCCTCTCTCTCGTGTCTTACTTCTGTTACCTTGTCATAAAACTCCAGGAGGTTTGTGATACAAGATTTGCCTTCCATGAACCCATGCTGGTTTTCATTTATAATCTTGTTCCTTTCCAGGTGTTCGACCACTCTCCTGATAATCTTCTCCATGACTTTGCACACGATGCATGTCAGAGACACAGGTCTGTAGTTTAGTGCCTCGTTTCTGTTTCCTTTCTTAAATATGGGGACTACATTAGCTGTCTTCCATTTCTCAGGTAGTTGCCCAGTTTCAAGGGATGTGTTGAAGATTGTGGTTAGAGGCACACACAGCATCTCTGCTCCTTCTCTAAGGACCCATGGGGAGATGTTGTCCGGTCCCATCGCCTTTGAGGTGTCAAGGTCACTTAAGAGCTTCTTCACCTCCTCCTCAGTTGTTCGTATGTCATCCAACACTTGTTGGTATATTCCCTCTTGATGTTCCCTTCTGTTCTGTCTTCCCACAGCCCTTCCTGTCTCTACTGTAAAAACTTCCTTAAATCTCCTGTTCAGCTCCTCACATACCTCCTGATCATTTCTTGTGAGTTCTCCACCTTCTGTCCTTAATCTGATCACCTGGTCTTTGACTGTTGTCTTCCTCCTGATGTGGCTATACAACAGTTTCGGGTCAGTCTTGATTCTCGATGCTATGTCATTTTCATACTGTCGCTGGGCCTCCCTCCTTACCTGTGCGTACTCATTCCTGGCTCTGCGACTGATCTCCCTATTTTCGTGTGTTCTCTGCCTTCTGTACTTTTTCCATTCTCTATTGCACTTTGTTTTTGCCTCCTTACACCGTCGGGTGAACCAGGGGCTTGTTCTGGTCTTCCCGTTGTTACTGTTGCCCTTGGGAATGAACCTTTCCACTGCCTCCTTGCATTTTGTTGCTACATATTCCATCATTTCATTTACTGGCTTTCCTGCCAGTTCTCTGTCCCACTGGACCTCCCGCAGGAAGTTCTTCAACCCTATGTAGTCCCCTCTTTTATAGTCAGGTTTTTTCCCATTCTACTCCTGTTATTCTCTCCACTTGCAGCTCTACTATGTATTCAAAGCACAGAACCACGTGGTCGCTAGCTCCTAGGGGACTCTCATACTTGATGTCCTCAATGTCTGAGCTGCCCAAGGTGAACACAAGGTCCAATCTTGCTGGTTCATCCTCCCCTCTCACTCTGGTAGTGTCCTTAACATGTTGGTGCATGAGGTTTTCCAGCACCACGTCCAACATCCTGGCTCTCCATGTTTCGGGACCCCCATGTGGCTCCAGGTTTTCCCAGTCAATCTCCCTGTGGTTGAAATTCCCCATAACCAGCAACTTTGCTCTGCTGGAGTGAGCTCTTCTTGCCACCTCAGCAAGTGTGTCCACCATTGCTCTGTTGCTCTCTTCATATTCCTCTCTTGGCCTCCTGCAGTTCTGTGGTGGATTATACATCACTGCAATGACCACTTTGTGTTCCCCAGACTGAAGTGTACCTGCTATGTAGTCTCTTTCTCCCGTCTCATCTATTCCTTCCATTTTCTCGAATTTCCATCTGTTTTTTACGAGCAGAGCAACCCCACCTCCCCCCCTGCCCCTTCTATCTTTCCTCATGATCTGGTATCCTGGTGGGAAGATTGCATCTGTTATTGTCTCCATGAGTTTTGTTTCTGTAACTGCTATGATGTCTGGGGACTTCTCATTGATTCTTTCTTGCCATTCCTCATGTTTATTCGTTAATCCATCTGCATTTGTGTACCAAACCTTCAACTTCTGTTCTAATACTGTAACTGTGGTGCGGGGGGTGGAAACAGAGGGATCGGTGTGTGATGGTTGGTTTGGATTGTTCAGTTGCCTTGGGGGTGTCGTGGCTGGAGTCCTTCTGCAGGTGTTTCCGGGGGGTGCGCTTGTCCTTCCATTTGATCCTGGGTTATTCTGCTCTCCTTTTTCATTTCCTCCCATTTCTCCTTTCGTTTTTGAACTCTCTCTTTCATTGTCTAACTTTCGTCCTGTGTTCTGTCTCGGTCGAGGTGTGTGTGTGTGTGTGTGTGTGTGTGTGTGTGGTGTGTGTGTGTGTGTGTGTGAGTGAGTGAGTGAGTGAGTGAGTGAGTGTGAGTGTGAGTGTGAGTGTGAGTGTGGTGTGTGTGTGTGTGTGGGGGTGTTGGTGTGTGTTGTGTGTGGGGTGTGTGTGGGGTATGTGAGTGAATGAGTGTGTGTGTGTGTGTGTGTGAGTGTGTGTTGTGTGTGTGTGTGTGTGTGTGTGTGTGTGAGTGAATGAGTGTGTGTGTGTGTGTGTGTGTGTGTGTGTGTGGTGTGTGTGTGTATGTGTGTGTGTGTGTGTGTGTGTGTGAGTGATGTGTGTGTGTGTGTGTGTGTGTGTGTTGTGTGTGTGTGTGTGAGTGAATGAGTGTGTGTGTGTGTGTGTGTGTGTGTGTGTGTGTGTGTCTGTGTGAGGTGTGCGTGGGGTGAGTCGAGCTCTGGCTGCCTTAGTGATCGCTACTAGGTCACTCTCCCGAGCGTGAGTTTTCGTCTCTGGTAAAGTTTTGGATGCTCATACAGTGCTTCCCAAACTATTCACTTACTGGACTATCTGTGGCTGAAGAAATACTTCCTAGCATCCTGTGATTCATCTGTGTCTTTAGCTTCCAACTGTGTCCCCTTGTTACTGTGTCCAATCTCTGGAACATCCTGTTTTTGCCACCTTGTCAATTCCTTCCAGTATTTTGTATGTCGTATCATGTCCCC